TAAAATTGCACGAGTCAAGGTTTTTTATATATCCGCAAAGTTGTGCGCCCATCACCACTATCTAATTCCAGAGTATTTTTATCACTCAAAAGGGAATCCCATCTGATTAGAAACCACTCCCCACCCCCTCATCTGAGACTGGGAAAGGCAGTCCCTGGCAACCCCTCATCTGTACTTTGTCTTTATGGATTTTCCCATGTGGGACATTTCACATAAATGGACTCCTGTAATATGTGACCTTTTGTGTCTGGCTTCTCTCACTCAGCATCATGTTTTCAAGGTCCATCCATGCCATGATGTGAATCAGTATTTCCTTCCTCTTTTTTTTTTTTTTTTTTTTAGTTGAAGTCTCACTCCGTCGCCCAGGCTAGAGAGCAGTGGCAAACTCACGGCCACCCCAGCGTCAACTCACTGGGTTCTGGCGAGCCTTCCACCTCAGCCTTCCAAGTAGCCAGAACTACAGACGCATGCTACCACGCCTGGCTAATATTTGACTTACTGTCGAGACAAGGTCTTGCCAAGTAGCCCGGGCTGGTCTCAAACCCTCAGATTCAGGCAATCTACTTGCCTTGGCCTCCCAAAGTGCTGGGATGACAGGCTGAGCCACATAGCCTGACCTCTTTCTTTCTCGTTTTAAAAAATAACACTTTTATTAAGATAGTCATTTCTCTTTATGGCAGAATAATATTCTGTTGTAGGGATATACCACATTTTATTTATTTGTTCATCAGCTGATGACTAAGAATACCTTTTGGATATTGAGAATAGCAGTGCTATGAACATTTGTGTGCAAATTTCTTGTAGATATTTGGTTTGTCTTGATTATCTAGAAAATCTCTTAAAAACAAATATTTGAATAATATAGTTTCATTTCTTTCTCTCTCTCTCTCTCTCTTTTTTCTTTTAGAGACAGGCACTCGCTCTGTCACCCAGTGTATTGGTGCACAGGGCTCACTGTACCCTTGACCTTCTGCGGTCAAGCAATCCTCCAAAAGGTATTCTTAGTCATCAGCTGATGAATAAACAAAATGTGGTATATCCCCACAACAGAATATTATTCTGCCATAAAGAGAAATGACTATCTTAATAAAAGTGTTATTTTTTAAAAAGAGGAAGAGGCCAGGCTCCGTGGCTCAGCCTGTCATCCCAGCACTTTGGGAGGCCAAGGCAAGTGGATTGCCTGAATCTGAGGGTTTGACACCAGCCCGGGCAACTTGGTGAGACCTTGTCTCTACAGTAAATCAAATATTAGCCGGGCATGGTAGCATGCGTCTCAGCCTCCAAAAATGCCTGTGTTCCTGCTTGCTTTCTCTCCCCTTCTCTTTCTTTTTTTTCTGAGTCGGAGCCTCACTCTGCCAGAGTGCAGTGGCATGCTCATGGCCACCACAGCCTTGACATGCTGGGCTCTGGCGATCCTTCCAAGTAGCTGGAACTACAGGTGCATCCACCACACCCAGCTAATGTTTTGATTTATTGTAGAGAGGAGATCTTGCCAAGTTCCCCCGGCAAGCCTCCAACCCCTCAGGTCAGGCAATCTTCTGGCTTCCACCTCTCAGAGTGCTGGGATTACAGGCGCGAGCCACCGAATTTCTTTCTTTTTTAAGTATTTCCATCATCTCAAACTTTGATCAATCTTTCGTGTTGGGAACATTCAGTAACGCCCTTCTAGCTATTTGAAACTGCATATGATTGTTGAACCAATCACCCAGCAGTGGAGCCGAAAGCTAGAACTCTTTCCTCCTACTGGTTGTAATTTTGTATCCTTTAACAACTCTCTCCCTGTCCCTCCCTTCCCCCACCATTCCCAGCCTCTAGCATCCTCTGTTCTACTTTTTACTTGTCTGAGCTCAACTTTTTTTAGCTTCCACATGAGTGAGAACGTGCAGCGTTTAACTTTGTCTTCCTGGCTTATTTCACTGAACACAACGTCCTCCAGTTCCATCTCATGGCCTTCTATGGTTCCAGGCCCTGTGCTAGACGGTCATTTAATCTAACAGCTCTGAAAGGCTAGTGTCACCACCCTTGAGGTACAGAAAAGAAAACAAATTCAGGAAGGTGAGGGACTGGTTCTGGCCTCACGCCTGGGTGTTCCTGATTTGGGACCAGAACTCAGGCCTGGCTGTGTCAAAGGCCACACCTGTTCCTCTCTCTCCTCCGAAAATAAACACACCATCTCCTTTGACGCTTGAAATCCAAGACTCATCCAATCTTAGAACCACAAAGTCTAAATTTATCAAAAAGATTTATTAATGCAAATTTTAAAACACACAAAATATGTCAAGATTAATAGGGCAAAGATGGTATATAAAAGGAAACTTTTTTTTTTTAATTTTTTAATTTTAATTTTTTATTTTTTGAGTTGGAGTCTCACTCTGTCACCCAGACTGGAGTGCAGTGGCCGCTCCCGGCCACCGCAGCCTCGACCTGCTA